TAATAATAAATTATATAAAAATTCAGAAAGTAATAAAATATTATGAAATGAAATTTTCTATAATATATATTGAATTACAATGAAAATGATTAAATTCGAAATAATCTGAAAATGATAAACCTGAAACAAAATACATTAAAATACTAGCTGTTGAATTTTGAAAGTTTATGTTATCGTTAAAAAATTTAACATTGAACTTCAAAAGTTTTTGATAATAAAATAATACATATCAAAATTTAACTATTAAATTTCAATTTCAAAGAGTTGCGACACAATCAATAACCTTCGAAATCTAATGTTGTGATATAATTTCAAAGGTTTTCAAATTAAATATAATTACTGATGTTGTCACTAGTGAAAGTTCTGTTCTTCAAAGAATGGAATGTAAGTGTTTTATTAATGCTCTTTAAAGATAATATGAATTACATATTGATATTCTTATTTTAACTTGTTATAATGTCAATAATAGAAATTGATAATTTTAATTAAGAAGAATTAATGAAATATCTGATTAATAAATATAAAATCAAAGAAGAAGAAACAAAAAAATTATATGAATTGGTTGGTAATTATATTTTAGGTCTAAAGTCTATACAAACAAATTTCTAAATGGACAACCATTCTATTTAAAATTGGTTTCATTACATTAAATACAACTCTACTTAAGTTTAATTGATTGATATTTTAATTGTAATTATTAAAAAATCAATTTTAAAAGATGTTGAGAAGGAATTCATAAAAGCATAATTCCTTCCAAATGATCTACATTATGAAACAGGAAAAGGTATTATTAATAACTTGTAAAATCTAAGGAACTTGTATTTTTTAAATTTCAGAAATATTTCAATAAGGTTACAGAATTAAATGAAGTATTAGGAGACAATGTATTTGCATATCATCTATCTGAAAATACTGTGAACTTTAAATCAAATCAGTAGTAAATGCTAATATATTCATTAAATAAAACTTTTTATTACTAAAGTTTTACAATAATATAAATTCATTATTTCTTTAATATAACATATAATAAAGTACAATGAATTGTATAAAATTAGAAAAATTATATATAAATCTTATATAATTAAATCTCAAAAACAACATTAAAAATAAGCAAATTTGAATCCTAAAACTTAAAATGCCTATCATTCTCTCAATTATTAAGTTTTCAGCTATTTTAAACTTTAAATATTCATAATTCTCTCAATTTTAACGAAATGGGTCTATATAATTATTATGACATAATTATGGAATCAATAGCCAGAATTATGATTGCGGCCAGAGTTGCGGATTATGGCATTGTCACAATTAAGAATTGCTAAATACATAAATTCAGCCACGAATTTAAAGGTATCTTAAAATATATAAAATATATAAAACATCAAAGTTTATGAATATTTTATTCAAATATTTTCATCGATTTAAAGATAGTTTTACTTACTAAAGACCAAATTATATTAATTATACTAAAAATTTTTATTATAAAAATGAAAGAATAGCCTATTTGAAGTAGGCGGTGAGGCTGGGTGAGGCTGATATTAAGAGGGTTTAGGATAAGGACCTAGATCCTGGTCAAGAATAAGATTGTCGACAATTTTACAAATTGACTTAAGGAACGTCGCTATATAGTACTTTTCAAATGCAGATGTTAACAAAGGTTTATTCAATATCACACTGAATATTGCTGAATATTGATGTCTCGTTATAATACTCGCGAAAATATACTTCAAATACGTACCTTCTTGTTAACTTCATTTTTCCTCTCTAAAGTTCGAGTCGAAAAGCAATCGTGTCAAAGGGATTGCCTTTCAACCTAAACGACCTTGGATTCTGGCTTCGCTCCATAACGGCTGCATACAATTATGGGATTATCGTATGGGCACTCTTTTAGAACGGTTCGACGAACATGATGGTAAATGATATAGATTGAGATTTGCTTGCTTGCGATCCATTTGATATTTACAATTAGCAATTTATTTAATTAATTTATTATTATAGGTCCTGTTCGCGGTATTGCTTTTCATCCTACACAACCCTTATTTGTGTCAGGTGGCGATGATTATAAAATCAAAGTATGGAATTATAAGACCCGTAAATGCTTATTCACATTAAATGGACATCTGGATTATGTTAGAACGGTATTCTTTCATCATGAATACCCGTGGATTCTTAGTGCATCCGATGATCAAACAATCCGGATCTGGAATTGGCAGTCAAGGAATTGCATTGCTATTTTAACAGGTCATAATCATTATGTTATGTGTGCTCAATTCCATCCAAAGGAAGATTTAGTAGTTTCTGCATCACTGGATCAAACTGTTAGAGTCTGGGATATTTCAGGTATTCAAATCATCAAGATATAGATATAGATATATATATATATTTAAGAGAATATATTTTTGTTTTAAATTTATAAAATTATTCAAATCTTCTGCAATTCAGGGTTGAGAAAAAAAAATGCTGCCCCTAGTTCAGTGACTTTTGAAGACAGTTTACACAGATCAACTACCACTCAAGCTGATATCTTCGGAAGTACGGATGCGATAGTAAAATATGTATTGGAAGGTCACGATCGTGGTGTCAATTGGGCTACCTTTCATCCTTCCCTTCCATTAATTGTTTCGGCTGGAGATGACCGTCAAATAAAATTGTGGCGAATGAATGGTATTTCGAAACTTTTTCATAACAATTTTTTTTTTTTTTTAATTTTAGTAAAAATTGTTATTATTATTTTAGATAATAAGGCTTGGGAAGTTGATACATGTCGAGGTCATTTTAATAATGTATCCGCTGCGCTGTTTCATCCCAGACAAGAATTAATTATATCTGATGCTGAAGATAAGACCATTCGTGTTTGGGATATGACAAAAAGGACACTTGTACAGACTTTTCGACGAGAGCATGATAGATTTTGGGTTTTAACTGCTCATCCTGAATTAAATCTGTTTGCAGCTGGTAATAAATATCCTTTTTTTTTCTAAACCAAAATTAATTTATGTAATTTTATGTATTAATTTTATGTATTAATTATATATTTAATTTTATGTATTAATTATATATTTAATTTTATGTATTAATTTATGTATTAATTTATGTATTGATTACTCAAAGGTCATGACAATGGTCTGATAGTGTTCAAGCTGGAAAGAGAACGTCCGGCATATTCAGTACATCAAAATAATCTTTATTATGTTAAAGAAAAATACTTGCGTGTTTTTGATTTTTCTGATGGTTCAGACGTATCAGTTCTCTCGACACGCAAAATTAGTGGACAGTATGTTCAACCACGGGCTTTATCATATAATCCAGCGGAACGTGCTATTATAATAACAACAGTAAGTTATATGATAAATTATATGAGTTATATGAGTGATAATTTTTTAACATACAATTGATAATTTATGCTAATTCGGTTTTTTTTTCCTTTTTAGCCAACGGATGGAGGAAGTTTTGATTTATTTAATTTACCAAAAGAATTTAATGGTGAACCTCGAGAAGCATCTGGAGACGGAAAACGTGGTGCTGGGAATTCAGCAATTTTCATTGCAAGAAATCGATTTGCAGTACTGGACAAGACGCGTCAGGTATTTTAATATTGAAGAGGTATATAATTATATCGATAAAATCTATTATAATTTTTTCTAATAATTTTGTTTCTTATTTTAGCAAATAGAAATTAGAGATCTTTCTAATACTACTACCAAATCCCTTAAACCCCCAGCTTCCGTAAATGAAATTTTTAATGCGGGAAGTAGTAATCTTTTACTTCTCAGCACACAGAATTCAGTAATATTGTACGATATTCAGCAACGTCAAACTATTGCCGAAATAAATACTCCACCCGTAAAATATGTTGTATGGTCTTCTGATCATAATCAAGTAGCTCTTTTAAGCAAACACAGTAAGTTATAATAATTCTTTTTTATATATATTTTTATATTTTATTATCCGACTTACATTTGTCGATAAATTTCCAATTTTATTAATGTTTATTAAAATTTCTAAAAAAGCAATAACGGTTGCAAATAAGACATTGGAACAAAGTTGTGTAATTCATGAAACAATTCGAATTAAGAGTGGTGCATGGGATGACGCGGGAATCTTTGTTTATTCCACGCTTAATCATATTAAATATGCCCTTCCGCAAGGGTAAGACAATGTGTTCTGGCTCTAAATAGTGATAAATTAATGTCTATAAGATTACGAAAGCATTAAAAAATTTTTGATTCATTATAGTGATAATGGAACTATTCGTACGCTTGATCAACCCGTTTATCTTACTAAAGTAAAAGGAAAGAATGTCCATTGTCTAGATAGGGATGGTAAGACTCGCGTTATTAGCATAGATCCTACTGAATATCGCTTTAAATTAGCTCTCATTAAGCGCAATTATGATGAGGTCTTGCAAATAATCCGCACCTCAAATTTGGTTGGACAAGCCATTATTGCATATTTGCAAAAAAAAGGATACCCGGAGGTAATTTAAAGATTCTAAAGTTTTATTATTAAAAATTGTATTTTTATCATTTTTAATAATATTTTTTTTCTTTTCATTTGTTTTATAGATTGCACTCCATTTTGTACGAGATGATAAAACTCGTTTTGACCTTGCACTTGAATGTGGTAATATTGAAGTTGCATTGGAAACTGCAAAATCTATGGATCGTGAAGATTGTTGGAATAAGTTAGGTGCTGAAGCTTTACGTCAAGGCAATCACCAGGTTTGTTCCAATATTATAAATTCCAGTTACTTTTTTTCTTTTAATGTTATTTTCAAAGTTATATCTTATAATTCAGTAATATTTGTAATATTTCATAGGTGGTTGAAATGGCGTATCAAAGAGTTAAGAATTTTGAACGGCTATCATTTTTATATTTGGTTACGGGTAATGTTGAAAAAATGAAAAAAATGTTGAAGATTGCCGAATTAAGGAATGATAATATGTCAAGATTCCATAATTCACTTTTTTTGGGTGACGTCGAAGAACGTATTCGGTTATTAAAAGAAGTTGGTCAATGTAAAAAAAAATCTTTTTATGATTTCTGTGTCAATTTTTTAATTTTATTTTTTTAGGGTAAATTATGAAATTTTCAATTTTTTTTTTTTTAAATACATATTCAAAGTGCCTCTCGCATATTTAACCGCCCATACACATGGTCTTACTGAAGAGGCCGAGACAATTTTGACAGCAGCCGGATTGACTTCTGAGGATATTATAGATTTACCATCTAATGGACAATTGTTGAAACCACCTACACCAATCATTAAACAGGTTGATTCTAATTGGCCATTGTTAACAGTATCAAGATCATTCTTTGATAGTGCATTTAACGCTGCAGACAATAATCAATTTGCAGCACCTCTTTCTCTCACCGGTGCTAGTGAAGGCATAGAAGAAATAGGTGGTGATTGGGGAGGTGATGAAGACCTTGGATTTAATGGGGATTCTGGGAAAGAAGAGCAACGCGATGTTGATGTGGTTGAAGAAGGATCTGGTTGGGATATTGATGCAGATCTTAATGCTCAACTTGATACAGAAATTATTCAAGAACTTGCTAATGGAGCACAAAGTGAATTTATACCCCCAACTTCGGGTACAAATGAGTCAGAGTTATGGATACAAAATTCACCTTTAGCAGCTGATCATGTTGCAGCTGGATCATTTGAGACAGCTATGCAGGTATAAGAAATTTTTGAAATTTTTCTGAATTAAATATTTTGATTATAATTATTTTAATTATTTAAAATTTTGATTAACGTAATTATTCTATTATTTAGCTTCTCAATAGACAAGTTGGTGCGGTGAATTTCCAACCTCTTAAGGAATTGTTTTTAAAAACATTTCAGTCCACACGTACATATTTGTCCTGCAATGTATCACTTCCTCCTCTCGCCTATCATATCCGAAGAAATCCCGAAGAAACCGAAACTCGTAGAGTATTGCCTATTATTTCCAATATGTTTCAAAATATCGTATCTACACAACTACAGGAAGTATACAAAACAACCACCCAAGGAAAATTTCAAGAAGCCACAATACAATTTCGTAATATCCTACATTCGATTCTATTGATAGCTGTATCCAAAAAGTCGGAAGTTGATGAAGTATATGTTTTATTAAATTCTCTTCCTATGAAATTTTTTAAAATTCTATGGACTTAGGTTGTTCTTTGTAATAATTTGAATTTTATTATTATTATTATCATTTTTTGGAACTTAGGTGCACCAACTTATCGATGTGTGCCGCGAATATATCCTTGGACTTACAATGGAGCAAACACGCCGTAACTTTCCATTGGACAATCCAGAAAATACAAAGCGAGCACTTGAATTGGCTGCATACTTTACTCATTGTAGATTACAACAAGCCCATTTGATATTAAGTTTACGATCTGCAATGAAATTGAGTTTCCAGGCCAAGAACTGTTTGACGGCTTCCTTGTTTGCTAGACGATTATTAGAATTAGCACCAGCACCACAAGTTGCTACACAGGTATTTATTAATATAAAAATTTAAAAATTCCTTAAGATTTTAATCTGATTTTAACATTGATTTTAATAGGCACGTCAAATCCAATCTATTTCTGACAAAACTCCAAGAGATGAAATTACTCTTGATTATGATCAATATAACCCATTTGTAGTATGTGGTAGTTCTTATACTCCTATTTATAAAGGAAGTCCTTCTGTTGAATGTCCATATTGTCACACTTCTTATTTACCTAAATATAAAAACAAACTTTGTACGGTTTGTGAAATATCACAGATTGGTATTAATTCAACGGGACTTAAAGTTCTCGTATAGAAATTGTTGAAATTTATTAAAAATTTATTTATATAATGAATAAATAATTGTATTTTACACTTATTAAAAAACAAAAAAAAGAATAGACTTTAAATTGATTCATATACAGAATATTATTATTATTATTATTATTATTATTATTATTTATTATATTATTCTTGTAATGACAATAATAAATTTTTAAATTTATTTGAGATTATTTATTCATATGTTCATATGATCATCCTGAATTCTACAGTTAATATTCAAATATTATTTAATATTGTACCTGTTTCATCAAATGGTAAATTTTTTTTTAAAAAAATTCTAAAAATAAAATAATTTGTTCACTATGGAAAGAAACCTATTTTTACCTATTTTAAGTAAAAATATACCAACAATTTTTTTTTTTTAGATTTATCTCTAACACAGATTTGCAATAAAAGAAAGATATTAATGTTCAACAAATTTTCACCCCTGCAATAAAACATTTTGCACTTTATTTACAACTTTGTAAAAAACTTGGTAACACCAAAACCTCCCTTCATAACTGTTCGGGGTATTGCATTTCCAAAAAGTGAGTCCTTTATGCAATAAAATTGGTTTTTGACATTTAAAAAGTTTTTGCATGACCGTTTGTTTTACTTCTTGCGGACTGAACTTTCTATATTCATTTCCTTTACCTATTATAAACTCACCTTTATAAAATTTGTCTTTTTTGATAAAAAGACAAAAAGGATTGTGCAGAACGCAAAGAAGAAAACATCCTATTGTACATTCACCCACCTTCTTTTCAATTTTATTACACACACTAAACAACACCTGAAAACTTGCGAATCTTTGGCAAGTTTGCAAATCGGATTTCGTGAGTACTCAAATAATGAGTCATATGGTTGGAGAATACGAAACGGTTGGTTTTTTATTATTTAGTTAAAATGTTTACGCCTTTCTGTTTATTTGGAGTAACAAAATCTATAATAGTACAATATTTTAAATATATTATTAAGTTATAATTAATTGCGGCATCAGGTTCAACACTTTCCATATTACTTGCGCCTTTCATATTTCATCATTTATGCTGCTTTTCACTTTTACATTTTGTGAAAGGTTGCTACGGCTGCGCATTTTTTGATTCATTCATTTTCTTTCTGCGCAATTATTTGTATAAAATTCATTTATCACGGCAGTTTCCCTAATCTTTTTTTTTTTTTATTTAATCTTAAGACTAACGAACTTCATCGTGTGCAAAACGAGATTGACCCTCTTCTCAATCAATTTTATACAACAATGTCTCCAGGTAAATAATCTATATGTCTCTTTCTTTCTTTCCTTTTTTTTTATTCTTATTCAACTAATGATTCCTTTCATTAAAGCTACGGAACGAAGAGCATTTTTGGAAGAGGTAAGATTATTATTATTGTACTGATTCACTTTCTAATGTAGATTGCCTATAAATTCGTGAACAAACTATATTAACATTTTATTGATATTTAATCAAAAAGGTCAATTCTATTGATGATAAAGAAGTTTTAAGGAGAATGCTTATACAGAAAGAACAAGAAAAAGACGATATAGTACAAAATTTAGATATGGCAGCGCGACTAGGTCTCGCAATTTCAGAAAAAAACGAAGAACTTCAATTAAAACTTGATATAGCCCAGCAGGCCGAGGCGCAAGCTTATCTTAAGGTAAATTTTTATTATTAGTTTTTTTTTTTTTTGACAATATATATATCAAACAATATGGAAGTTAATTATTTTATTTTATTCAACATTTTTTAGCTTTCTGCATTAGAAGAGGAAAACCGAATTCTATATTCCAAAGCTTCTCGAAGCAATGAACTTGCAACCCAATTGGCGGCCAGTGAAGATCAAGTAAAGACATTGCGTGATCATAGAGCATTTCTACAAAAGGAACTTGATACTGCTCGACGAGAGCTAAAAAGATTCCGAAAAGAACTTGATAGTCTTTCGGGACAGATGAACGATATGGCAGAGGATATGTGGGAATCTCGCAACAAAGTAAACACATATGCTAAAAAATTGGGTAAATATAGAATTGGGATATTGTTTGATATTGTTATCTTTATTTATTTTTTTTTTTAAGAGAAATTCTTAATTTTTTTTTTTTTCTTTTTAGTGGATGTTGAGCAACACCTTGCGGATACGCAAGAAATGAATGTTAATTTATCTATACAACTTGAAAAGTCGCTTAGTTCTCAAAAAATATCTAGTGCAACAACAACGCAGATTGTCAAGATGATTCAAGCTGATCTTGGCAGGGTAAGCATTTCCTTTTAAAATTATTTAATATTCAATAATAAACTCAATACCTCCTATATATAATTATAATTCTAGGTTGTCCTTGAAAACGAACATTTGCGTGCTAGCATAAATGAATTAGAAAATCGGCAAGTAAAATGTGAGGGTAAACTTAGTGAAATGATGGTATCAGCTCAAGAATATGCTCATCTTTTAGAAGAAGCACAAGATACTATACATTCACTGAGTGAAACTCGCCTTGAATCTGATATCGAGAATTTAGAGATATCACCTGGACGAAGCCGCGGACATGTAGATAAAGTTATTAGCAAGGTAAATATATCACATGAATTATTTATTTATTAAATATTACATATCCATTCTAATATATATATATATATATATTTTAGGATTCACCTCCATTAAAGGGATCTCCATTTTCTACAGAGGTAGAACAACATTTAGAAAAGACTATCGAGGAAAGGCTAATGACACAAATGACGAGGCCCCACTTTAACCATACATCTAATTCATCAGTTGACATGAAAAAAGCAGCGGCAGGATTGAAATATCTTCTATCTGCCCGTGAGGTAGAAGATAAAGATGTCGGCAAAGGAAAAGGTCCCGAGAGACGACCATTTGGTGGTGGCTATGTTTTACATTCTTATAATGTACGATAATTATTAGTAGTACATTTTATCAAATTCATCACATTTCATCCTTTTCATTACATTTCTCTACGGAGACATTATTTCAAAATGGGCGGGTTCATATGGACATTGATTATTACCTTTTTTTCATCTTTTACTACATTTCATCTTTTTTACATTTCATTTTTTGATTTATTAATTTTTTTTTTCTTATTGATTGATTTGTATTTTATATATCAGTCAATCTTATCATAATAATGGACAAGTCTCTTAAAACTTTTAGACCATAATATATTGCAAAGTTCGTATTTTTTTCACGCGATTCCGATCAGTGATATAGACGCTTTGTTTAGTTTCATATTCCTATTAAATTTTCTTCTTTCGTTTCTACCTTAATTCTTCTTCTTACCCTTAATCCGTCTCTTAGGTTGCTTTTCTTTGTATATATTCATGAACATAGGAATATGGTGTGATGACGCATAAAAAAAGACTAAAAAGACATTGAGGACTTTTGAGGATCGGGGATTCAAGTTTATATTATTCCCTTTACCCATTCATAATTTTTCATTTATACATTAATTCATAACACCTCATATATCCATTTTATTTTATGTTCTCCATATAAGCTTTATTATTATGCCTTCTTCAGGAACACAGGAACGAGGATACGCCACACACACATAATAATAATATATACAATTTGGCAATTTTGGACCTAGATAGATATATAATATTTTATTCCTTTTTTTTTTTTAATCTTTGTCAACTAATTAAGAATCTATGATAATTATTTTTATTATTACTTTTATTTTATATTACTTTATTATTTTATCGTCCTTTTGCATTAAAAACTTATTATATTTCATATATTTACATATAGTAGTACTTTATTATATACAATTATTTAGTTTTCTATTTTATTAAAGTATTTTGCATTCATATAATATTTATATATATATTTTTATTATACATTTTATTTTTTACATATTTAAGTTTTTGGTTGTGTTACAGTGGGACGATTTGAATCGGATTTATTTTTGCACACACAATAATAAAAATAATGATTTATTATTTATTTATCTGTTACCGGATCAAATTTGGATTTACTTACTTCCCAAAAATGGGTTTAAGCAAGCTTTTATAGATCTGTATTTCATCATATTGATTATTGATTAACAAATAATATCATTATCATATGGTAAAAATTAAAATCACATGAAATTTCTTGAATTATTAATTTTTCCAAAATTAGAATAATCTGATGAGAAAAGTAGATATATATATCTTGATTCAAATACTCATTTCTAAATTTTTCCAAAAAAAAAAAAATCAAGAGCTTAAATTTTTATTTTTTTAAATTTTGTTCTTTTAAAAATAAGATGCAAAAATAGATAAAATAGATAATCAAAATGTATCAACAACAATATTTTTTTTTTTTTTTTGTTATAAATTCTTTACATATCTTACTATAAGCAAATATGATATGTATATTATACAGTATATAAAATAATTTTTCTCTTTTTAATTCTATTCTTCAGTTTATTATTTTTCGACAATCACTTAATACAATTTTATTATGGAGAAGTAAAAAAAAACAGGTTGATACAACTACTAAAAGTATTTATTCAGTTTAGTGAATACTACGAAACACAATGAACACAAAGAACACAAAGATCTATAAATGAATCGAATTAACAATTTAGAAAAAAAAGTTTTTTTTTTTTTTTTTCTTTTTTTTTTCAACGAATTACTAATTACTTTAATAACCACCGTTATCAATTATAAAAAAAAAAAAGAAAGAAATGGTTGATTACTTTATAGATTTAGCCAGAACTATAGGAGTTCTTACGGACCCATATATTAGTCCTTTAGAAAATGTCCTAAAAACAACATTGAATTCAACATTTCCACAAGTGTATCAAAATCTCGAAGAAATATTAGAAAATAACAAATCACCTTTCGTTGATAAATTACCATTAATGAATCTATTTCATGTATTAATAATTACCATTGGTTATTTATCGACAATCTATATTGGTAAAATGATCATGTCAAATCGAGATAAGGTATCAGTTAAATGGTTAAGCATAATGCATAATTTGAATTTGGTGGTTTTAAGTGCTTATATGTGTGTCACGGTATTAAGTGAAGCTTGGAGAAGAGGATATTCATTATTTGCTAACGCTGACGATAGATCTGAGGAAGGATTTCAGGTGATTTATAATTATTCATTTATTTAAATCCATTCATATTTATTATATCACAACACTAATATATTACACTTTATTATATCACAACACTTATATGTTATGTAATATATATATATATATATATATTATAGATGGCAAAATATATTTGGTTATTCTATTTTTCAAAAATATTTGAATTCATGGATACATTTATTATGGTATTAAAGAAGAATAATCATCAAATTTCATTTTTACATGTTTATCATCATTTTTCAATCTTTATTATTTGGTGGTGGGTAACTTACGTGGCACCTACTGGTGAAGCTTATTTTAGTGCTGCTTTAAATTCAGGTAATTTTTTTTTTTTTTTTATAAAATTATTAATATGATTTATTATTAAATATTAATCTATTAATAATAATATTGATCTATTAATAATAATATTGATCTATTAATAATATTGATCCATTAATAATAATCATCTATTAATATAATGATCTATTATTAATCCGATTTAATAATATAGCCGTCCATGTAGTAATGTATGGATATTACCTAAGCACCGTATTATCAGTTCCTATTCGATTTCTTAAAAAATATATTACATTATTTCAAATGACCCAATTTTCATTAAATATGATTCAAGCTAGTTGGGATCTATTTTATTTTAAAATTTATAATCCTACTTCAAATAGTTATCCCTTTAGTTCAACTATTTTACTTTGGTTTTATATGTGGACCATGTTGGGATTATTTGCTGATTTCTTTAGAAAAGATCGAAAACGTGAAAAGGAACAATCAATCAAGAAGAAAGGTCAGTGAGTGAGTGGATGTGATGTGATTGTTAGGTGTGATTATTTATGGATTATTAGTTTTTTGTTATAGTTCATTATTTTACAAAAATAAAATATCATATCATATCATATCATATTTTTTAATGGATTTAAATTTAAATAAATAACTAAATTTAATTTATTATCAAAAAAATAAATTAAATGATAAAAATTATAAATAAATAAATAATGAATAAATAAATAATGAATAAATAAATAAATAATGAATAAATAACTAATAAATAAAAAAATAATAAATAAAATAATAATAATAATCAAGAGAACAAGAAATTTCACATCTTTCTTTCTAAAGACATCACGGATTCCAAAGCTTGAGCACAACTCTTTATCGTATCACATATATCTTTAATCTCTAATACATCTAATACATTATTATTAGAAGATACATAAATATCCTCATTTAGCAATATATTATTAAAATTATTATTATTGTTAATCTTATTATTATCATTATTAATATTATTATTATTCATTACATCGTTATTATTATTATTATTATTATTATTATTATTATTATCATCATCATTATTATTGTCATCACTAAAATTATTTCTTGTCATTATCCCAAGATTTCCAGATTTATTTATGGCATTTTCTAATTTATCGTTTAACATACCCAATGTTGAAGAGAGTGAAGAAATGGATTTTTGTAATATATCATAATCAGGGGAATTATTATTATTATTATTAGAATTATTATTATTAGAATTAATGAATGATTTTTTAATGGATTTAAAATCACATGGTTTTATTGGTGTTGAGTTAGTAGTAGAAGCAGAAGTAGAAGAAGAAACAATAAAAGGATTAATGGAAGAAGAAGTAGGGGAAGAAAAAATAGAAGAAGGAGAAGAAGATGAAGTAGAAAGAGAAGGAAATGTAGTATATGAATTAGGATTAGTATTAGTAGAAGTATTGATCGAAGTAACGTGATTAATGTGATTAATGATGTTTTTTGTATCAACTGCATTATTATTATTATTATTATTATTATTATCATCTTTCCTAAGTTGCTGAAGTGTGAACTGAAAAAAAAAAAAAAAAGAAAACGATCATAAAATCATTACTAAAAATATTTTAAAAAAAATCAACACAAAAATTTTGACGAAAACATGTAATATTTATAATAATTATGATAATTGTGATAATTATAATAATAAATTTAAATTCAATTCCAAATCCGTGCTCGTTTGTTTGTAGTAAACTAATCATTCAAACAAACAAAAAGAAAAATGAAAAAAAATTCTTTTTGGTGGCGTTCTTATTCTTCTATATATTATATTATTACTAAATATATATAATTATTTTTTTTTTAACGTACCTCGATTTCTTTAGAATCAAAACGATGTTTAAGCCCATTCGTTGTCATATTCATCAAATTCGTCGTCGCCATGTTTTTTGTGATGTTCGTTTTCGCCACGTTCATGTGCTTATTATTATTATTATTATTGTCGTTGTTGTTTTGAATAGATACATTCTGTAATATTTTATGTTTATTAAGATCTAAATCTGATTCATTCAAATAATAATTCTCACAATTAACACAAAATCTTTTCTTATTCCTATCACGTATCAATGGGATCTATAATCAATTAATCAATAATAAATTAATAAATGAATAAATAAATAAATAAAAAATAAATATATAATAAATATAATAAATAAATAAAAATAAATATAAAAATAAATAAATAAATAAATAAAATAAAATAAAATAAATAAATAATTTACTCACACCAAAACATTTATCATTATGACAAATTTCATCAATTAATGCCCATCCCATTAATAAATATTTACTAATCAATTGTGAAGCTCTTCGTGATTGTTCACGTTGTATTTTTTTTTCATCATCCATCATCATTATCGTTTCTTTTACTTTTAGATCATCATTATCATTACATTCTTCTGACATTCGTGATTCTTCAACTATTAATGATTGATCCATTACTGACTTATTATTATTATTATTATAATTATTATTATTGTTGTTAATTTCACCAGCTTTTGTTAAAATATCTTGAATATCATTTTCATTTATTTCCATATCAGTAGAAATTTGTTGTTGTTCTATTTCTAATTGTGGTGGTGGTGATGTTACTCGTGATTTCTCAAGTTCATTACAAAATACACAAAACCATACAGAACTATCTTTAGAGCGAAGTAACGGTATTTCACAAGTTGGAGTTTCACAAACTTTATCTGTTAATACCTGAAAAGATCATATAAATAATAATATATAAAGTAATAATAATAAATTATAATATCGTTTTTCACTAGAAAATAACAAAAAATAATAATTAAAAATATTTGATATTTTACCCATCCAGTTAAAAGATATTTTCCTATGAGACTAGTTATTTGATCTAGATTTCTTGTTTTTGACTCCATGGCTATATATTGATTGTATTATTGTCTTGATTGAATAGAGAAAAAAAATTATGTAATATTTTGCTTTTTCAGCTAGCTTTTTTTTTTCAAACTCAAAATTCTAAAATTCAATTCACGTTAATCATCCAATCATTTAAATGTCACGAAAAAAAAAAAAAACACGATATATCGAAAATCTTAATATTTTTAATATTTTTTTTTTTCTATTAAAAAAAAATAATAATAATGGCAACTCCCGAGACATTCACTACTGAAGATTTAAGGTTCTTAGCTGAATATGAGTCGATAACCATTGAACCTTTTTTTTATGCAAAAGAATTTTCACTTTCAGGAGTATTTATATAAAATATAAAATATATATTATTATATTGTCAAAATTTCACTGTAATAATTGTTGTTGTATCAATAAATAATAATAATAATTATTATATAATAGAATTACGCGTTAAACTTTATTAATTTTTTTTTTTTTTAATTGTTATTAATTATTATTATTAATTTTAATTATATATATATTTTTTTGACATTTTTATTTATCTAATTATGATATTAGAGGAAATATGGTCCCTTTAGACCTCCCAAAAAAATAGTTGTACCTTTATGGGTAGCATTATCTTTAAAATCTCAACGTTTATGTAAAATAATTCTTCCGGACTGGCTTAAAATTGGTAATTTATTATTATTATTATTTATTATTATTATTATTATTATTATTATTATCTATTAAATTATTATCAGGAATAAACAATCATTTTATTGTATAGATAATCTCGAAAATTTATTATTCAAAGAACAAAATTTTCCCGAATTTAGTCCAGTACCTTTTTATTATTTTGAGATTTCTCAAATGTTGTTACGGGCGTATGTATTATATTATATATTATATTAAATTTAATAATTCATGTAATATTGAATATTAATTTTATTTAATTTTATAATATTCAAAAAAAAAAAAAGAGCCGAGGATGATTTAATAGAATCAGAGAAAATTCGATACTCTTTACAAAATCTTAAAGAAACCAGAGAAAATAAAATTAGAGAAGGTTTATTAAACCTTGAACCTATTCCAATTAAAGTATGTTAAATTCATTATTATTCATTTCATTTATTATTCATTTCATTATTATTCATTTTATTATTATTCATTATTTATTTATTCATTCATTGTTTTTTATTTAGGTAAATAATATTAGTGCAAGAGAACTTCATATAATGCGTCCTACATTTACCAAAATCTATGATTCATTAAGAATGACTTTATCTACCAACACTAAAACTACCACCACCACCACCACCACCACCGCCACAACAAATAATATTGACAACAACGTTAATAATAATAATAAAATGGAAATATATGAAAATAGTCAAAATATGGATTATGATATGGATGATATTCAGAATTATGAGGATGAATTTGCTGTTTTTGATTAATAAATAAATAAATATAAATAAATATAAATAAATATATATATATATTATTATTTCATCACTTTTGCATAAATTTCAAATTCAATGGATATGGCATAACGAAAAGTTTGAATGAATCTTCTTCTTTTTTAGAGGAAGATAAGAAGAGATATTCTATCTTTGAATTTTATATATAAACTTGATATTTGAGAAGATTTATATTCATTATCAGTAAGTGATACATTCCTACTAGATCACGAGAGACTATATGTTACTGCTGCGAGTGTAATGAAATGAACACATTTATTCTTTGGGTGTGGCGCGCGTGCATCAATGCTTAATAATTTATGAAATTATAATTACGGTTTAATAAATCGACGAGTCGAAAGGTCCAGACGTTCATTAAAGGTCGGCGTACTTAAATTGCTACCAGTCACACTGCCTCAATTACTTATTATCTCAGTCGTGGCATTCACTCACAAGCTGCCTAAGAAACTATGAAAACTATGAAAAGACAAACAAAATCCAACATATGTACGTTTTCTTGGATATCACATCAATTCTCTTCCCTCTTATCTTCTTGGAAACGTCTCTATAAAATAGTACCCAATTTTATTAAATTCACTTAAAAAAAAAATACTTATTAGAACTGTGGAACTGTGGAACCAAGAGAATCAGAATGCTTCGTTCAGACATAAAAAGGAATAGATTTAAGTTCTATCAAAGAAACTCTTAACAACACAACAAAAGTAAATTACAATAATAGATAATTTTTGACCTTTCCAAGAAAAAGAATAATCTCTATGCTAATAAAAGGGCATGAAAGAAAACAAATACATATTCTCATTATTAAAATACAAATGTTAACTAATATTATTTAATGCATGAAATGAGACGTTTTTTTTGAATTTTCATCTTAGAGAAATTAGGGATATTCCATTTTGCTTTTGATACGTTTTGCTTTTTTCTCTATTTTGAATTTTAGGTAGCCGGAAATCTTTTTAGTTAAAAATTTTATTAGAGAAATTAAGAATTTTCATCTTAGAGAAATTAGGGATATTTCCAATTTGCTTTTGGTAGGTATCCAGAAATCTTTTTAGTTAAAAATTTTATCATCTCAGAGAGTTTAGGCCATTTTGAATCAATAGATCAGAATTTACTCGAATATCATTCAATATAGGTTTTATTCGTTTTATTCTTTCCGTTTCCATGTTTTATTTCAAGGATAATAGGATAATATATGGAAATGTGAGTTGGTTAATTAGAAGAATTGAAATTTTAAATCTTGCGAGAAATTCTACCAGGTAATAATATATACATATCAATAATAACTACAATTGTAAGCGAATAAATAAAAATGAAGTCGATCACCTTGATGTGTCCGTGTTAAAGAATTATATTATTATTAGAAAAGCCAATAATTTCCTTTTTAATAACTTATTATATTTAAGATTTTGATTTACGTAACTCAGGTTAATATAATTATAGATTTTATGAAGATCCATTGAAAATATTTATAATATACTTTCATTTGAAAATTCTGCTGAGATGTAATCTTAGTTTAAATTCTATTGTAGTAGAGATGAAAATGAAAGTTTTAATTACCAACCATTTCTTAAGAAAACAAAGATAGTTCACCTAAATCAATTTCATGGGAATCTTTATGGATTTTTTTTCTAAAGATATAACAAAAAAGTATGTACTTATGTTTAAACATTTATAAAAAGGAAATTAAATTTAAAATAATATATATATATTCGAATTTGAGATTATTAAGCAAGTTTTTAGTTTATTTCAATTTTAAAAATCAGTATAATTTGATTAAATTATGATTTTAATTATAATATAGTTTAACCTGGAGTATAAACTTAGAGCATTTAATTCAGGTTAGGTTGGGTTGTCCTTTACGCCACTATTGAATAATCAAATCAGAAATTAATCCATCTGTTATTTACGTTGATGCTTTCTTGTGCAGTCTTTTACCATATCGGTAAGATAAATATGCTAAAATAGAAAAATTGTGATCGTGGTATAATATCGAATTCGAAAAGAAATTATACCTTTAAAAAAAATAAAAATAAAAATAAAAGTTATAACACTTGAAAGATAATGATAAATATATTTCGGAATTAAAAAAATAAAAATTTATTAACAAATGATTCGATAATGGTTCATCAAGTCCCATCAAAGAAATTCTTAACAACACAACAAATTTTTGATTTTCTTCAGTCGTTATGATAATAAAAAAAGACATGAACGAAATGCATGAAATGAGACTTTTTTTTTTTTGAAAGAAGAAAGAAATAAATAAATACCATCTAAAAACAAAATTGTTACGCTAATAAAAAGTGAAACGGAAAAATATATTCAAAATGATTTATTAAAAAATTTAGAAAAGATGACAAACTAATAAAAATACAAAAAAGAAAACTTATTGGTCGAGGCAACTTTTTTTTAAAAAGTGATAATATCAAATTCTCGATTATTACATTAATGAATTTTAGGTAGCCGGAAATCTTTTTGGTTAAAAGTTTTATTGGAGATGGAGAGAAATTAGGGATGTTCCATTTTGCTTTTGGTAGAATTGATTCAATTGATGGTTTCTTTATCATTACAGCATTGAATTTTAGGTGGCAGGAAATCTTTTTAGTTAAAAATTTTATCAACTTAGAGAGTTTAGACCATTTTGCTTTTGACTGAATCGGTAGAACAGAATTTACTTGAAGATCAGAATTTACTCGAAGATCATTCAATGTGGGTTTTTGTTTCCTTTCCGTGTCCATGTTTTATTTCAAGGATAATAGGATAATATATGGAAATGTGAATTGGTTAATTAGAAGAACTGAAAATTTTTAAATCTTTGCGATAAAATTTATTTAAAAATAAATATCAAAATAAAATCAATTACGTAACCATCAACCGCTTACAATGAATGCTCATAATAATATGTAGGTGAATAAAATGCCTTGCCTTTCAGTGATTTTCATTTATAAATTTTTTATAATCTGATCATCTTTATTTATACAAATACAAATGCACTAATATTTTAGTTACAAGTATGAAAGGATTACTACATTTGGTACACAAATTTTAGTACCCTTTGTGACGTAGAATATAAAAAAAATATATCAATATGACGAAACGTAATTACGAACTTGATCATTTACTTAGAATAAAAAATACATTTATGCTTAGTTCCTTCAATGATTTCTTCCAATTGATTTAAAAGCCAAGTTGTAACGATATTATGATTCTTCATATCATGTAAACTATTCAATTCGTCCATTTTTTATTTTTGCATAATTTTGATTTTCTTGTATATGTTAACAATAATCGAACTTAAGGAAAAAAGATTTATTTTTTACTTACGTAAATATATGTATTAAAATGGATAGAATTAATCTTGTAAAATTATAATGATCGTCGAGAAGAAATTATTAAACCTTTAAAAAAAACAAAATAAAAATAAAAGATATAACACTTATTTTTATTATTATTATTTATTATCCAATTTATTACCACAAAATAAATAAAATATTTATATATCAAAATAAAATAACAACACGTCACTCTCTATCATAAATGAATGTTCATAGTAGGTAAACAAATAAACACTAATTGATCATTTTGATTTAGATTGCACTAAATGTATTAAATATTTTAGTACCACGTTATGTTATGGTTAAAGAACTAGTATCTTTAATTTTATATTTGATACTTACTCCGTATGGTTACACAAAATTTAATCACATTAAGATGTGATCCAGCTAAGATCGACACTCGTTTTATAATAAAATCCGGGGATAAGTTATTTAATAAAACTATAAATCATCAGCTGCCTTATAGGTAAGTATAAATTGGTACAAAATAGTCATAGATGAAGTTTTAGTATCTGCTAAGTATGCTATTTGGCAATTGTTTTGTAAAAAGTTTGAAGAATTTTCCAAAAAATAAAAGATACATTGAAAAAATCAATTTTTTAAAATTATTATGAATTATTAATGTTTTTGACCTATAAAAGATTTGAAACATACTTAATATATATATAAATTTACTCCACTTTTTTATATGTTAATAGTGCCATTCTTAGATGGATCATGTCTTAACTTGTTTAATAAATTAAGTCCTTAAAATAGAAATAACAAGTTTAATCTTTCAATTTTTAAAAAAGTCAAGTTGTAATCTTTACATTTTAAATTATATGCATATTCCACACATAATTTAAAAATTTAAACTATTTAATTCAAAAACTGTATTTCTCATTTTAGATTTTAAATTATTTTTCTAGTTACAAGTGCATCAGATTTAAATACTGCATAATTAAACTGTTATTGAAATTGCAAATAGTATAATGTAATAAGAAAAAGTGTATTTTGTTATATTTATGTCATTTTTGTATAATTCCTAAATCAATAAATAAATTTGCTTTTGATGTGGTGTGGTAGTTGTTTGAATTCATGTATGATATTCTTTAGTTATATCTTCATCACCTATTAATTTATTTGTTTTTATCAATAATTTATTGAAGGACAATTACATTTGAGTTAATAATTTATCAAATGTTAAATAGTTTTATTTTATATGAACTGGAAATGACATAATTATGTCATTTCCAGTTACATTAGGTTATTTCAAGTTGATAAATGACTTGATAACTGTGAAATTAAGCAGGGGGTACTTGCAGAGGATTTACTTGCAAAGACTCTACTTCCGGAGATTTCTGAACTTGTAGAAAAAAGAGCATTTAAATTGCTCATCCTTTTAAATAATAGAACAAGATTTAATTCAATTATTTTACATTTTTGTTATTTTTGTTATACTACGTATCTTAGTTATTAAAAAAGATTATTTAAAAAAAGGTATAAAAGATTAAAAATTATAAAAAAATTTATTTTGAAGGTAAAAAGAATATATTAGGTTTGGTATGTAAGGGAGAATATAAAGAAGAATAAATGCCATTATCCTATACATAAATATTTTCAAATAACAAGTAATTAACTTGTAAATAATAAATATATTCAAATAGATACTATATTTAGTTAGTAATATTCTTTTACATTTTTTACATTTATCAAAGTTTCTATTATAAAAGTAATAAATATTTTTCTTGATGTGAAAATATAGTTGTGAAGAAAATTTCTTGATTGTTAAAAAAAATATAAGAATTTGAAAAGTATAAAAGAAATGATAATATTATGTAAAGTATCTTCAAAATTATTATTTTTTTAAAAAATTTAATAACTTCAAAGTATTTCAAATATAATTTTATAAAAATGTCAAACTTCAAATGCCTATATTGTGATCATTATTTTTTATCTCAACAAGCATATGCTCAACATGTTAATAAAACTTATAACGATATAAATGATATATCACTTGATAATAAAGATTCTAATTGAATTAATTGAATTGAAGAATTACAAATTGTTCAGGAAAAAAGTTTACTATCTATAACTAATAAGTACAAAGATCAAAATATGTCATCTGCATCTTATGAAAATACTGATACTTTAAGTGATTTTCTGAAAGATTATGATTTACAAAATAATTTCGATCAATCTGAAGAGTCAAATGTAGAAGATTATAATAATTTTGAACAATTTTTGCCTAAAAGATTATAGAATAATTATGAAGAACCTAATGAACAACTTGAAGAAAATGCTATAGAATTTCCAAACAAAACATATGTCGACTTGAT